TTTTTGTGTGTGTGTTTTTTTTTGGTTGAGCTAGGTTCCCGCTTGGCTTGTGAGGGATGGTACATGTAGTACTTGTATTCAGCCTCTGTTATTATCGGCCTTAAAAGAAAACAAGTTGTGAGATTTTACAAATTTATTTTCGAGAAACCGCAACTCATATATCAATAAAATAATTAATTTTACAAAACATTATGAAAAAGAAATAAATTGTTAATAAAATTTCATTATTTTCAACATATTACAATCTAGTTGCGTTAACTTTTAAACAGTATATAAATATGAATATGATTAACATAAAGATGATTGAATATCCATGTACGTACCTTAAAAGAAAACAAGTTGTAAGATTTTACAAATTTATTTTCGAGAAACCGTAACTGAGGTTGTCAGGGTGCGCACAGCCATTATATACCCCAGAACCGGTTTCCATGACAATTCCACAACTTGTTTACTTTTTCAGTACCCATGTGACATGACCGCATATGGTCATGGTGTGATCAGTGTTTTCACTGAATTAACCAAGAATTAAGAATTAACCTTTGCCAAATTTAGAATTTTGCATTTAATATCTTCAATTTAAGACGTGTTCAAAGTCAATGATTTTGACCAAAATCAAAATTGTTATCCCATGAGAACACTGACCACTTACATAAAATATTTCATCTATTGATAGTGAATCGCCTGGTCCGAATACACAATTTGCAAATAAGGATAAGGTAATAAGCTGACAACATCTTTCCATCACCAAAAAGTTATATAACAACTAACCTTGTGCTGGATATACAGAATATGTAGGAAGAACACATTGAAAGTCAATAGATATTGTATTGATGCACAAATTTAAACAAAAAAGGAAAACAAAACATAAAATTCTATGTTAATACTATATTGTACATTATATGCAAGAAAAACAAAATGCTAAAAAATTAGGATTTTCCAGGTTTTTATGGAGTACTACATATTTCTTTAATAACATTTTTATTATAAGTTTCTTTAAGAGCTTTGGTTTATCATAACATCAGAATCACACAATTGCAACGTCAATCACATCAGTCTGCCTAACAATCGGTTTGAAAATCAGTCATATAAAATGAAAATTACATTTTTTAATCTGTAATTTATTGCTTTTGTTTAATTTTTATTAATTAAGTGAAAAAAATACTTTGAAACATGCAGTAAATGCGCATTACTATGATGCACGAAATATTGCGCAATGAAAACCCCAGTCAGTCCCCTTAAGACTATATGGCGCATGTGAGCTAAAATAATAACACGAGATTGAATGTAGATGTTGATGATGCTCTTTGAGATCAAATCAAAATTTTAATCGATTTTTAACTTGAATATCCTCATATGTTTATGTTTTTAAACTGTTCTTATTTCAAAGTGCATTTGGCAATGGAATTCGTTTTTGTTTCAAATGTTTAAAATCTTGAAAACGCAATAAATTTATTGATTTTAATCATGCTATTTACAGGAAAAAGTTCATTTTTATTAAAAGTTTTAAACAATTACAAATGCCTTTTCAAATTTGGTTATCTGAACGCATAAAGAAACAGGCCAAATGTGGCATTACGAATTATAATATAAACTAACATAATTTTTATTAAAAAAAAGCTGTTTTACTCATTTTCCTACAAACCCCCACCACCATCTAAAAATTCAATAAATAAATTAAATTTGAAGGAAATTATACAAAAATAAAAATGAACGTTTTGATTGAAAATTCTGACTAAAAAAAATTAATGAATGTCTGAATAAATACTCCTTTTTTTCCATAAGATATTTTATAATGCACAAAAAGGTATTGTCAAACACTTGAAAACTTGTCTCCAAATAAAATGATTCTTTAACACGAATGTATACAAATGTACTTACAGATAAACTGACAAACCTTACAATGGTTTTGATTAAATTCTATTTTCAAAGGTAGAGAATAATACATTGTGATATATTTAATTAAATATGAGTTTGAAATATTGGTTAAAGTAATTATATTTATATAGTCAAATGATTTAATTATTATACTATATGTTTAATGGAAGTGTGGTTGTCATGGCCACAAGATTGGAAAAGAGATCCTCAGCAACCTGCAATAAAAACAGTTTTATTTTATTTTTTGGAACAATGTCACTTAGAATGTAAATAATCCAAACTTTGAGAATTTTTTTCTCTTTACGAATAAAGATTTTTGCTCTATCATTTGCATGTAATAAAGCTTTAATTCATACCTGTTTGTCAACTTGACTTGTTTTAAAATTCATCGTGGTCGTGTGCATCGCATCCGTATTTGGCAAGGATTCTTCTTGCAAGGTTAGTAAATTTTTTCATCAAATCATCAAACTCACTGGTAAATTCATCCAAATCACATGTAGATATTTTCTCTACACAGTCAATAAGGCCATGCGAAGCTCTGTTCAACAAAAAATCTGTTTTGGATTACCAATTCTTTTTTGGGGGATTAAGAATAAAAGATTTAATTCAACTGTTTTTGTCTAACTCATGTATGAATATAAGAACCTCTTTAATTACATTCTTTGTGTTATCTGGCCTAAAGATCATGAAATTAGACTTACATCAAAATCTAAATCACCTGTAAAATATTTATTAACTATTGAACTAATCCAAAAACAAAGTCAACTAAAAAAACACGTCTTAATCATATACACTGTACCAATTTGTATATTCTTGATAAAGTTTTTGGCAGTTGCTTACAAAAAAATCGCATTTTCTCTTTTGTTATTGTTTTTTTTTTTTTGTACTTCAGATTTCCAGTTTATGCAAACAAATATATAACCAAGCGGAGAAGGAAAACACAGGTTCAGTTTATGAATTTATTAGGAAATGAAAAAAGCAACGGCAGGTCTACAAATACAAAAACATATATACAATATCATAATACACATAGACTCTGAGACAAAATTCTTTTACTTCCTATTCACTTGAAAAATAAGAAAATTTATGCTTAAAACATAAGCCCAAAACGTCATTTTCATAGTTAAAAAAAACCCTTCTTTCAAAAATATTAAAAATACTTGAGCTTAAAACTTGGGCTTAATAAATAAAATACAAAAATTTAAAAGACTAAGAAAATTACCTTTCAAGTGGTGACAAATGGGAATCTAGTAATAACTAAGTTAAATTTCTCGCACTGACAGGGATGGGCCCATGCCTCAGTATATATAGAAGAAAAAAACGGTTAAACAAGGGGGTACAAATTTACTGGCCAGTGGAATGGTACAAGAAAGTTAAGATATACTTAATTAAGTCACCTCTACCGGCCGCCTAAGTTTTGCTAAGATTGTCTAAGTACTCTTTTGTTACGGTCTTAAGTTTTAGACTGTACTTAAGTCCTACTTAAGCACTGTCTAAGACTTAAGCAGCCTCTATGTTACGATCCCCAGGAGATTACGAGTATAGCTACATGTATGTAAACAAAGTTTTGTCCATTTTAATGCATAAGACATGTTGCTCGTTTTCCTTACCCTTAAAGCGCTACTACACAGTCATATTTTTTCTAGTTAACAATCCGACTCCCCCACCGCCCGACCCCTCGCCCGAACTGCGCATGGTTTACTTTTTCCGTAAGCGGGGGACTCGAATTAGCTTGTTTGCCCGTTCATTTGTATGTGGTTATTCCGACTGATATTTGTGAAGAAATCTTTTATGTACTTAAGTATATTATCAGTTTGGGAAATGCTGGATTACTTGCATTTTAATGACACGTGTTTATGTAGTTGTGAAAAACCACAAAAAGGTACGATGCGCCATATGCATTTGTCGTTTAAAAGTAATTGCAAACTTTATTGTATACTACTAGAAGTGATCAGCTGATATGATTAAGATAGAATTGATCTGAAAATATTTCCATTTCCAATTGTTTTCTCTATGATAAACACTACAAAAGTGAAGCCCTGTGGTATGTATATTTCTATATAACTGAAAGGTCAGGTGTCAACCTGCATGTATATCATTGGCGTATAAATATACTAAAGAAAAAATAGATGTTTTGTTTAATTGTTTACTAAGTAATTTGATATGATATATCTTTTTAACAAACAAAATAAATAATGAATTATCTTCGGTTCGAAAGCAAGTCACTAGCGCAACGCTGTCCACTATCACCGGGGCCTCGCGAGTCCGAGAACTCCACTTCCGTAACAGCCACGTGGAGAAATTGACATTGCCACATGGATCTGCACGTACTTTATCATCTGATATAGACATCGTCCCTCAGTCATTACCATCCGACTTCTTAAGCAACTCAACTTCTTCTGTCATTTTAACATCCATACAAATCGGTTTCCTGACCATGCTGACCAACTCCCGTTTCATCAACTGCAACATTGCATTCAATATGGCGGCGGAGAAGTGACATAGTGACTATATATGTTCGTGCTTCCGACAACCTAAATCTAGGTCACATATATAATTAAAGTGAACAAGATTACTTTGATCATTATTTAAAATTCTTTTGTTGTTTATTTTATAAATGTTGATATTTGACTACGGTAACTAAATAATCAATAAATTTGTTTCGTGTTTTTGGGACTATTTTTTTATAGTAAAATTTGACGTCATGGGGCCTTGTGCATTTCAAATCTACTCAATTAGACGGTATTTCAATTTATTTTAAGAAAGTTATTTCAAGTAAAAATGGAAATATAAGGAATCACTGTCTAGTTTTGAGAGTATGCCAGGGACATCAACAATAGTGGGAAACATGGGATAATTTTAGCATAACCGGCTTCGCCCGTTATGCAAATTATCCCATGTTTCCCACTATTGTTGATGCCCTGGCATACCCTCAAAACTAGACGGTGATTCCTTAAGTAATAATCCAAACAAACTGTTTGATGATATGAATGTAAAACTTTAAGAATATATGATCAAAGAGTTTGATATGATTGACTTCGGCAAAATGAAAATTGTAATATTTACCGAGCAAGTTGAAATCCTTTTGATATATTAGTGAATAGATGATAAAGGACTACCTGCAACTTGCCCTGTGATTAAACATAGCACCTCTGGACGCATTGAAGAAGTTATTCAAGCAGGTGTATCCATCATCTACTGAACATTCCTTTGCAAAAGACCCTATATGATAAAAAAAAGTTACAAGTGGACGAGTAAAATAATAAAAGCTTTCTTTGGTTGAAACGAAATATATGGAGATAAATAATAGTATTTTAGCCCAAAAGCCCATAAAACAATACAAACAGGAGCAGAACAACCATTGACTTCCAAAACATTAGAGGTGGAATTAGGTGCAATTAAGAAGTAAGAGGCCCCTGCCGACCGGCCACATTCGCCGTGTGCTCCTTGTCTTGATCGGAAAATAACAGAACATTCCGTTGTCAATTCAACAACTGTGTAAATTATGGACTAACATTTGGTATGAAAAACGTCAGTCATTATTTGAATGAATTGTATTTGCTGACATGGTCATTGTATCGTCCGTAGAACTTACAAAATGATGTATATAAAGAAAATCGCTGATATTCCTGTTTCAGCTACTTGTCTGTCAATAACCTACCTCGTTTAAAAATTCTACATACTTGTTCATTAGTACAGGAAGTAATGATGCAAAACAAATACATAACAAGCAAAGCCCGGTTTCGATTCTCTAAACCTAGAGCAGAAAGGTAGATAGTTGCTTATCGCAAACATATTAAAGATATTGTGTTAAATAGATAACATGAATTAATGTTTATTATGCAATAATATGCTACAAAAACTCTAATTCTTTTTTTTTTAAACAGGGTGTTGCGTTCAGTTTGTTGTACGGTTTTCATCGTATCTTCGTATCAGGCTGGCATATATCATATTTAAAACGTTTCAAAGATTTATTTTCTCTTTTGCGATCCTAGATTCAACTTTAAATAGTTTTGATATACTTAATTACAACTCACGGGATGCGGGGACCTTGGTCTAAATTTCTATTTTTCACTATTGACTGGCAAAGAGAGCTTTATCATAATTACACTGATTTGAATTCTGATCATTAATGAGACGTTATAATACCGTCACGACTTCCAAAAAAAAAAATACATAACGTCACAAAAGGAAATTAAAAAAAAATAAACAATCGAGGGAATATTCACTGGAACAAAATCTGCAGTCAAGACTCATATTTGTTTTTTTTAAACAAAATATCATTTCATTGATTTGTTTTTCATAGAACAAACTCTTACTTAATGTTGTTTAGTGCAACATTGATAATTATTGCCCTATGTATAGGTCAATATTTCATCCATCGGGGTCTAACATAATCAAGCGTGTCCTCAATCATAGTCAATAAAAATTATGTATACTATCTCATTGGACTTCTGAGGCGAACTGTTTATCTTCAAATTTCAATTTAAATAAAACAAATGTTTTGAACATATTTTATTGTATAAACAAAAGGATTGGAAACAAGTTCTTTCAACTTACGAGTTCCTCTCCTTAAATATAACTATATGTCATGCAATTAAAATATATGTAGTACATTAAAATATAAATACAAAAGAGATACAAGTGAAATATTTGCTCAGATATATAACAATTTAAAATCTACAAGATTCGTTAATAAATTTATGCACAGCAGCAAAAATATATGTGTTTGTTTCTACAGGCAAATTTACATCACCACATTATAACAAATTTGTGTCAATATTGACCAATTCGTCAAGTAAAAATAGGCGATGAAAAAGATTATTCCTAGCGTTTGGATAATTTCTGCAGGCAAAAAAGAAATGATAAACATCTTCATACTTTCCACATGAACAGAAAGGGCTATTAATAATATTTCTTTTGTGTAAATCATAATTAAGTATACAGTTGTGTCTAAGTTTAGTATGGATTATATTTGTATAACGCTTGCCAAATGAAAAATAGATTGGGGGATTTTTTACTTCTGTAGTTAAGTTTTTTCGAAACGCATTGAGTGAGATGGCTTCCCTTGTTTCTGTCTTCAATAAATTCCACTGTTTCACAGCGTCAGGAATAAAAGATCTTTTATATAATTCTAATCTGCATCTTGGGGCAGCGTATTGTTCCTTATTACGGGTATTATATTTTGAAATGTTTTAACGCTTGTTTGGAACAATGTCATTCAAATATTCAGGTACATTACCATTATGAATTTTGTACATCGTGGTCATTTTTGCATTATAGCGCCTAACTTTTAATGTTTCCCAGCCAGTTTCAGAGTAAAGTATTTCTCTTGACACAAAAATTGGAAGTCCTGTAACAATTCTAGCTGCAGATATTTGAACTCTTTCAAGCTTTTCGGCATCATTATTAGAGCAGCCATCCCAAACAATTGAAGCGTATTCGAGCGAGGGTCTGATAAATGTGACATACAATTTTGAAAGGTGTGTCCTGTCGATTTTAAACTTAAGTTTTTTCAAAAGCCCAAGTTTCTTATAAGCATTGTTTACAATGCTATCAATGTATTCTGTCCAGCTAAGGTTTTGTGATAACAATAGACCTAAATGACGATGAACAGGGACACACTCCAGTCTGTCACCTTTAAAAAATAATTTAGGCATAACAGAAATATTTTTCTTATTGAAAAAAATAACTTTCGTTTTGGAAGGGTTGAATTTTAGAAGCCACTGATTTGACCAAAGTTCCAGTATATGTAAATCATGATTTAAATTATATTCAATATCAAGTATGTTGTATGAAGAATGTTGAAGCGAATTATCATCAGCAAAAAGTCTACACAATGATAACATAGTTACAGCAACATCATTTACATATATCAGAAATAAAAGGGGTCCTAAAACGGAACCTTGGGGTACACCTGCAAAAATATCTAGTTTTGGAGATAACAGATCTTTGTACATAACTTTTTGTGATCTTTTACACAAATAACTAGAAAACCACTGCAGAAGATCACCCGATATACCGTAAGTTTGTAATTTAAAAAGAAGTCCTTTATGCCAAACTCTGTCAAAAGCTTTTGAAAGATCGCAGAAGACCATACAAGATGATTTACCTTCATCAATATTTTGAACAATACTACGATACGTTTCTTGTAATAGATAAACAGTTGAATGACCCGGTAAAAACCCGCCTGATATCGATAAAACAAATTGTTACAATGGAAATATTTGTACATATGTTTAAAAATAATTCTCTCCATAATCTTACTAACACAAGATAGTAAGGACACGGGTCTATAATTAGAAACTAAGGAAGGGACATCTTTTTTAAACAAAGGAATAACATGAGCAATTTTCCAAAAAACCGGAAACTTTTTTTTGATAGAGACCTATTAAACAGCAGTGTGAGTGGCTTAGCAACAGTATAAATAGTGGATTTTAACATTTTGTGACTGAAACAGTCAGGACCTATGGCTTTGTTCACATTAAGAATTGATATAATATCAATTACTTCTTCTTCCTCAATGACAATATTACTGAAAGTGTCACTACACAAACTGTACATGTTTGGCAAAGTTTCATTTGATTCGTCAATTGTCGAAATGGAAGAAAAATATGAATTTATAGCTTCAATCTTATCGATATCAGAATAAGCAAAGCATTTTTCGCCGTTATCATTATGTATTTGGACTGGTGGGATTTCGTTGGACATTTTCAAGTTGAATGTGTCTTTCATTAACTTCCAATAGAGTTTGTTATTATTTTAGCTTGAATCTTCTAAAGATGTATCAATATTGTCGTAATAATTTGTTATTGCATATTTTTTCATATTGTTTACTGAATTTCGGACCTCTCTGTATGCGGCAAAATCGGAATCTTTTTTAGTTTTATGTGCTTTCTTATGAAGTCGATTTCTAGTTCTCATTGTTTTCCTTAGAAGTGAATCAAACCATGGTTTGTCGCGAGGACGTATGGTAACCGTTTTTTCAGGAACACATTCGCGTACACGCTAGATATTCAGATGTAAAATTTTCCGTTGCTATATCTACTGTCTGGGCCTCATTTATATTTTTATTCCAATCACAATTTTCAATTAAAGAATTTAGTTTAACAAAGTCAGCTCTTTTATAAGCCCAAACTTTTCTTTTGTAAGATCGATTGTAATTTATGTTAAAACATTTTTGTGACGTCATCTTTTGTTAAACCTGGTTCAATAAATTTGTTATTGTCCTGCACCCCGTCCAATAAGTTACCTGTAGGTGTCCAATAAGATTCAACTTATTGGACAGGTACAGGTAACGTTAAAATGAGAACAAAGGGCGAGGCAAATAAGTAAACACCACATAAAAGGCAATGACAAATCAAACAATTTAATATGAACAATGTAGGAAATAAGTAGCGTTAAATGTTAATATTTCACAAAAAATCCTATTGAAAATGGGACAAATAATCCAGTGAATTGAATGTCTCAGATTTATTATTGTAAACGCATCCGTGGCTCCGATCATAAATTTCCTAAATTCACCGTTCATTGCTATATAATAGATTCATTTCACAATGATTGATCCACGGAACATATATAGAATTCAATGGACACAAAAGATGAATGAGAAGCATGTGTTTTCTTACACACAACCTTGGGCTTTTTGTTTATTGAAATATCCATCTTTCCGCATTTAGCACAAAATTTAGTTCACAAAATTCCAACGGAATATGTAATTTCCTCCGGTGATTTATGACTATTTGTCCACCTAGTCCTGCGTCGTTTAAGCGAGTATCTGTCGATCTAAGGAGTGGCTGGAGCAAAACCCTTCCGAGTTCGAAACCTGCTCACAAAAGAGAATTGCATTTATAAAAAATACATCAGGAATAATCTCCCAATTTCATAGAAAATGCTTTAATAAACGGTTGTTTTAGTAAAATCCTTCAAATCCTTTTGCTTTATAAAAATTACCTTTTAACAGGAACTGCTTCTTGCAAATTCCGAAACATAAGAATATATATCCGGATTTCACAATAAAAACCTGAACTGAGGCATATTGGTGTAATCGATAAATGGCATCGTCAAAACACCCGATTCCGAAGGTCTTTTGTTCGAAATCAAAATGTACGTCTTCTTCCGTGGTCGTTGCGTTGTAAAATGAATAAATTGTAAAGAATTTAGTAGAACTGACTTTTACGCATGCGTAGTATATATAAAAATGTCGCAATGCGGATAAATAAGACTAAACAAAGTTAATGTTCATATTTCTCGATATAAAACACCTCTCGATGATTCCTACTATTAATAAAGACAGAAGAAAACCCAAAACTGGTTTTCTTTGGCCTAACTTGCTGAACAGTGCCAGGTAGTCATCCAAGCAGCACGAGACCTTACCTGTGACTGTCCAATAAGTTAACAATGGAAGTGTTCGAAAATGGTGAAATGTTTTAAGTAAGTTATAAGCCTCAAACTGACCATTATGTCAGATATTAGACTCTCCTCGGCGCTAACGCGCCTCGGGTCGTCTAATATCTGAATAATGGACAGTTTTCGGCTTATAACCATTACTTAGAAGAAAGCGTTAAATAGGTAGCTTTGTGGTCACTTATGGAAGAGTCCATTACTAATGTACCCGATTCAAGAATTTGGATAAGAATTTTGGTCAAGGAGCGTGCTCGACGTGTGTGTAATTCTTGTAGGTTCGTGGATATTATTAACAAGGTTATGTGTTGAAATAATTTCATGGATGATACGTGTTTGTGGAGTATTAAGGAGATCAACATTAATATCACCGACTAAAATTATTTTATCCGATTTTTCACTCATTTTGTCAACACACCATGGAAGTTTGGTCCAAAAACCACTATCAGGATGATATACACAGCACAAAAAGATTTTAGAGGTATGGTTATCAATTTCAATACAAATACATTCAATGTCAGAGGGTTCAAAATCATGGTGTCTAATAAGGCGCATTTGACCAGAAAAATAGATCATGACACCTCCCCCGAAACAATTCCTATCTTTTCGTGTTATATTACAAAACCCATCCAAATATAAGTCATCATTTTTTACCGTTTGGTCAAGATGGGTTTCAGTAAAACATAAAATATCAAAGTCATGAACGAAAGAGTTTAAATGATCTAATTTGTGTCTAATACTACGAATATTAAGGTGTAGAATGTCAAGGACATTTTCAATCGGGCCCGGATTGACCTCAATATCACCACATGCCAATAGAACAAATGTGAAAAATTGTAAATAAAAGTTTATGTACACAGATTTTAGGGTAATGGATGTCAAGCAATTAGCAAGAATTCTAAAAACATTTTTCATTAGTTGCAAAAAAACACGCGCATGGAAAAAACGACCATAAACATGTTTTTGATGTACATCTGCCAGATAAATAACAAAGGCCGATTTCAGCACGATATTGTTCAATGGAGTTACCCATTATCTACCTTGTGACAAAAGTATATTTTAAACAGAAAGCTGCAATCGGTAGCTGCTAAATTTATGACACATTCAAAAACTACAGTAACTGAATACACATATTTGTTTGCATGACTAAGAAAGTTTGGATATAAAGCATAGTTCAAAAAGTTAACAGAAAAATAATAGAACGAATACATGTAACATAAACACAAAATAAACAGGAAAAACAATTGGAAAGCGAATATGTACATAGAGATAACGTGAATAGTAATATACTGTACACTTTTGTGAATAAAAGAACACAAAAATTGTGTAATTGTGTTGAAAGGGTTTAACATTGTGGTAAAACTGTAAAGGTACACATTAGTAGAAATGGTATCTTCACAAAAACAAGTTGCGGAGTGCATATTCAAAGTAACCAAAATGTATATACATTGAATAAACAAGAGATGCAAAAAAATGCATGGGGTATAGGGAATTGAGAAGTTATGGATAAGTTATGGATAATGTTTGTATAATCTGGATCATAAAAAAGAAAATAGATTAGATTGTAGCTTTTGTTATGATTGACATTTAATTTTTAGGGTCATATTGAAATAATTGTCAGAAAGGGTTGAAAATTTGTCATTAGAGGATTTTGAGGGAAAACACCGAATTTGACTATGTCTGATTCGTCTCTGATGTGATTTTTCCATTGGAGGATCGGGCATTTTGGAGGCGATTTTGACGGCATAGTTGTCGACACAGAAAGAGCAGTCTGTCGCGAAATTTTGTCAAATCCTCATTGACCGAAATTTGCTTGGTTTCCTCGTTTTCGCGAAATTTGAAGGAATTTCTAAGCACATGAAATTTAGTGTCAACAGATTTCAAGCGAGCTATAATTTGGCGTGGACCTGTTCGTTGTTTTTTGGGGTTTCCAACTCTGTGCGAGTTAACGATATCATCTTTTGACAGCTCTATTCCGGCAATTGAGGTAGCCTCAAGGAGTTTAAAACTTGTATTTTCCCCTTCTGTTTCAGGAATCCCCGATACTCGGATGAGCGGCCGTCTGCCATATTGCTCAAGCTCATCAATTTGTCGACTCATGTCGTTGTTCTCGTTACGTAAATGGTTTAGCTCCTCACGAAGTGGGGCAACTTTCTCTTCAATCATGGAGGAAATTTCCTCGCGAAAAGACTCGCGGATACCCTCTCTAACAGCTTCAGCAATTTTTAGAATATCTTCTGGAGATAATGTCAAGGGACCGTTTAAAACATAGTGTTGTTGAAAACCAGGGTTGAACTGTTGGAGTTGTGGATCTAAGTTTTCATAGCCATTAGTAGATAGCGATGTTGGCGTTGAAGTACAAATAGGAGATGGGTTTTGTTGCTCCTGTGAGGTAGCGGTAGGAGTGCGAGATGCCGCTTCAGCAAAAGATTTTGACATGTCTTGAAGAGATCTTTTGTTATATTCACCCATTTCCAAAGTTTACAAAACGATTACACAATGACAATGACAAAACCTTATGGAACCAAATGTATTTATCTCGTATACAGTATCTAGGTTTGCATGCCTTAAATCTTAGAACTTAGGACTCAGGCTTAAGACGTCTGACAAATCGCACATTCAGGTTGTCGTGAGTAATGTTCATAACGTTAACACCAGCATAAAATTCAAACGCAAATTTTTTCTCACATATTTCAGCATTTCACCGAATTTTCAAATCATAACACACCTTTCAATGTTCTGATGGTTTTAAGCCCATTCCACATACATAAAACAAATGTAAAACTAATCCTGTAAATCATACTTTACATGTAACTACATTGTATTTATATTTATAAACTATTAAAGAAAATTTGTGCTACACGTGTTATTTTTTTTAATGTTATGTATTTCCGTTCGGATGATAAATTAAATCATACATGTATGCATTTTGTTCTAAATCCCGGGTTTCATATTTTTTTTTTACGAGAGTATTCTATTACCTTGATGCCGACTTGGCGTTAAACAATATACAATCAATCAATCAATTTATTACCTTGAATGTATAAAGTTGATATAATAAGGCAGAAACCGAGAGCAATGGTACTGAATCTTTCCATCTCTTCTAAGATCACTGTAAAAATATAAATAATTAAAGGAAACCTAACAATTGATAGAGTAAAAATGCATTCAATAAATCACACAAAATCCAAAAACTACATGTAATAAATAATGTTTGATGTAAAAACTGTCTCTCTCTTTTTCTGTCTACCGTAGATAATAAAAACTGTTTCTATAAAAATCAAAGAAAACCCTTTGTTTTCATTTTTTTCTTTTAAACGCATACGTTATTTTTGGAAATATGACATAATTAATGTAACATAAAATGAATAAAATTTTCTTTCAATAATTTGCCATAAAATTAATGCTATAGGACTAAACCATTTCATGCTTTAAATGCCAAACAATCAAAACTAAAAACTAAATTTTAAAAAATCCAATTAAAAAACTTAAGCCAATGTAATCATTACTGTACAAAAAATTCTGATATACGAAAACGGATACCATTCAGTTTTTATTAATTGTTAATTTTAGCGGCATATTTTCTTTTTTAAAAAACGTCTTTTTTATAATGATCCCTTATAAATTCTACTTTAAATTACTTTAACATTTTTTTTTTCGTTCTTGTCATCTGTTATTTGCGATTCATCATTTGAAATCAATCCACGACGAAAAATTTCACGACTGAGAAGCATTCTCTACCACTAAGGGAAATGAATGGTTCATGGCTGTAAATATTCGCGAATTAAAGTAACTGGCGAGACGCGTTAATTTTTCTCGCACGCTAATTCTTGAAATGGTCCGATACAATTTGTTATCTATTTTATTTACTTTTCTTCTAGTTAATTTTGGTTTTATTGTTAAGATACAACGGCTATATTTTTTAATTTTTTTTCAATCGAGAAAATGAATTTCACTAGATTTATTTTTTTGAATTATGTATAAAAAACAACATATTTCTACTATTTAAATAAACGAGAACTTACCTCAATGGAGTTTCAAAAGGCGCGTGTAAAGATATGAATGACTTATTGACTTTTATTGTTTTTGGGGTCCACAATATCTTTTTAAGTGCTTGAACAGGTTTACGCAACAGACCAAATTGCTTAATATTCTTTTCCTCAAGTATACATGTATATACATGTACGATCAGATTTGGCTTTTGAATAGTTATTTCCATTCGACACCCTTTTATACACTTTATACACTGCGGACAGCATTACATGTACATATTATTCAAAAATAAACTTTTCTGAATTTAAATTCAATAGAGCTTTATAATTGTGATATTTAAAACGCTTTAGAAAAATCCCTTTAATTAATGACAATAGGTTAGATAATATACGTATTATAACCGGGTCAACCTCATTTCGGACTCCAGCCTATGATGACTGTTTATTACACCTCAACCATCGAGGTTTGAGGAGGCAGAGTCCCGAATGACATTGGGCCGATTATAAGTTTGTTTACTTACACCCGGGATCTTGTTTATTTTAGTGAGAGGACACACCAAGTGGAATAACTCTTATAATCCTTGAGCTGGGTCGGAATAACTCAATTCAGCTTTTAAAATTTTATTATATCATTCTTTGGTGTTCCAGTAGGCAATTCCTTTTACCCTGAGTACCTTTCCTGACCAGAGCGGGTCACAGGCTCTAGTTTCCAAACTGTATAAAATGAAGCAGAGACAGACACAATCCAGCTTTTCTCTGGCGTATGTCCGTCGTCCGCTCATTTTATACCTCAACTCTTACTCCGCTTTTCATCTCCATATTTGGATGGCCTTCAAAATGTCCAATAATTACTTTAACTTCAAATTTGAATTTTTTACCTATCATTACTCTGTCCTCAAACACTCTTAGTTTACTTATGCGTTTTAAAAATTACTTTTTGTCTCTTGCAAAATCTTTTAATTTCACTTGGTGTATTTAATTTATTCGAACTACTGACCCCTGGTCACTCAAATGTTATTGGTCGCTCCTTCCTCTTAACCAAATACATTTTTTCATAAACAAGAAAAACTGAATTCCAATGATTCATTTCTTGGAACCGTCCGGGTTAAAGTTAGGGGTAAACTACTATTTGTTTGCATCTTTAATTGCTTTTATCTTTTCGAGGCCGCATGTGCTATCTCTGTAAGCCGAATAGTGCAAATTCATCAGATATGTTACATTCTTATTTTACCGCAATTTTCGTTATGATAAATTCCCCCTACTATTCAAAATCTTTTCCGCAAGATTTAGGGAAAATTTCCAGATCTTGGTTGAATTATTGGCAGAGAAGTTTAAATAAAGATGAATATTGAAAACGATTATCGTCTATGATATTTTCTCGAAATGTGCATTGGGATGGGTGTTTATTTAAAAATACATCTTTAGATAAATATTCCTCCGGGAAAAGAAAATTAAAACCATCATTAACTTTAGAAAACTTTCTCACATCCATATGATGAAACTCTTTGCCACAATATGTGCAAAATCTCCCACTCTTTATTTCATCTTTACATTCATAATGGACTCGAGAGCAACAACATGCAACTTTATAAAGAATGTTGGACCGTGGACACAAGATATCACAAAATGCACATCTGATTCTAATTGAACCTTCTCACCAGGTGAAATAAATAATTAGACGATATTCTATTACAACTAAACAACTGAAAATATATGAACAATAAATCAAACAAAGTCCCGTGAGCGTATTCCAAAGTGTAAATATTTAGTAAATAAAGTAAATAATCAAAACAGAAAAAAATTGGAAAAAATGACCAACTGCCAGTGAATATATCCTGTCTCCATGCCTCGGTTTTTAGAAAAATGTTGAATAAATTTAAATAATCTATTACAGTACTGTAAAAGATATATTTCTAAACAAATGAAACAAACGTTGAATAATCTCTGGATTTGTTATTTGCATAGGCAGCGGAGTATAAAAAGTTTTCCAATTTGTTAAAGTAAAATACTGAGCTACACAGTCAGACTGTTTGATAATATATTTTGTTATCGGTATCTTATAAAATTTCATTTTGTTTCTCTATTTCAGATGGCTTAAAAAATATATATAATTCTTAAATTCAAGTTACAAAAAAACACGATATATTAATCACACAACAACTATAAACAGTCTTTAAAATATAATGTACACATTGCCTAGGCTTTTTCTCTGGGTAGAGTCGGCAAGGCTCCTTAGAATAGCTATAACCTAAGCAAAAATTCAAACACTTCAATTCGAACAATCAATACCTTTAACGCATTGAACATAAAATTCGCACTGTGGGCTAAGACTTTTCGCTTAACCCAGAATCATACCAAAAATATTGTTTACTCGTCGACCTTATCTTCCACCTCTAAGAATAAGAAAAATTATTATTGATCGATGTTACCTTGTTTATGAGGATACAATGTGTTTATCCCTTCCAGCATAAAACGTAGCTGTTACACACGACCTGGACATATATGTTATAAACAGAAAACACAAATCTCAAAAAAAAAAAAAAAATAGCTTGAGTTATACAATTACAAATCGATGTTTTAACCATACCCAACAATAAACTTGAGACAACAAAATTAAGTTAACAAAAATAAAATCGAAAAACCGTATAATATCTTCATTAACGATTTGCTGTTCACAATCTAAAATATAGGTAGGTTACATTGTAGCATTTAATATCAGTCAATTTATACAACAATTAAAAAGCATGGTACACATTTGTGATCGCAATATTGGATGCAACAGTTGTGGTTTAACAAATATATTGCTCGAGACAAAAAATATCCCTTTGGTAAAATACAAAAGTAATACCAACAGTCAAAGAAAAGAAAAATTGTATGTGCCATATTTAAAAAAAAAAATAAATATAAATAAATTGCCTATTAAAAATCAGAATATGCATTTATATATAATTATATACATATTTAACATTCTTTATGCCGTGGGCCTATTTTGGGCCGGGCCTATCTTAAAAAACTACGTGGAGTGCCACAGACCTATTTTGGGCTTACCGTTAGCTCATTTACGTCACAAATAAAACTGATTATGACGTTACGTCATCATTCTGAGTTTCGCGCCATTTTAGCCTCTTGTTACAGGAAACAATCATTTTACGTTGCACTGAAAAAATTATATAAGAAGGAATGCTAAACCGGTATTTTATTTGTATTGGTTATTAGAGAATAAAAACAGTGCACTCTGAATTGAAATTAAACAACTGTCTGTATTTTCAATCCTCGTTTGAACGATACAAGCAATCAAAATTCCATAGGGAGAAATTTCTAAAAAAAATATATATATATATATTTAGCCTATCTTAAAAATGGATCTAAAATAATTTACCATTACTCGTGAAAACTTAATTTTTTGATCGTGGAAAAACTAGTGATGCTATATCATTTTGTAATTTCTGAAAAAATATTTTTTAATCTTTAATCGGCATGATATATTATAAAGTTAATTATTGTAACATAATTTGACATTAAAACCTTCAAGGGTTTTTAACGGACTATAACGGACTAAAGTTTTACTCTATCTGTGCGCCTCAATCAACTGTGATTATTATTACGTCACAATCATTATGTTTAACGTTGCCTACATAACGTCACGAGAATGACGTCATAATGTAACTTGTTTACAATTTCAAATCTACTGATGAGCCCGCATGGGGCGAAAGCGCTTTAGATAAAAGTTTGAGTTTATCATTTGAATTTGGATTTTATTTTATCCCTATACCAAGGAAAAATAATTTTTTGAATATATATATATATATATATATATATATATATATATATATATATATATATATATATATATATATATATATATATATATATATATATATATATCCAAAATTTAAATAATGTCTCAGTAATCGGATAACAATATTAAAAAAAGTAAAAAGAAAACACAAAAATCCTCAGTTAAGCTTTAGCGCTTTCATTTTTCTATATATAAAATGAAAGCGCTAAAGCTTAACTGAGGATTTTTGTGTTTTCTTTTTACTTTTTTTAATATATATATATATATATATATATATATATATATATATATATATATATATATATATATTTATTTTTAAAAAAATTGAGGTCCAAAAAAAATTTTGATTTTATAAATCATCTTATCAGCAGAGAAATTGGGAAACATTCTATTAAATAAAATCTAGAAAACGTTTGGGTACAATTGGTTTTGTGTAGGATTATTGTCATGTTTACACGTTTTCCGAGATCTGATTGGGTAATAGATGTTTTGATGTGCTAAAACCTCATATGCGCAATAGCGTTGCTTCAACATTCTCTTAAGAATAAATGCTTTGTAATATGACAAATGGATTAATCCGGGAACTTGAATAGATGTCGCAGTCAATTTAATTGTGAATGCAAAATTTGGCCAATTTACCATCAATTTTGGGAATGTGACACCTGTAACCGTTAAATTATCAATTGTTGATGAATGGTTAATATTGCAATGTGATAAACACATCGGGAGTTGAAGGGCTTTTATTACAAGGCACTGTTTTTCATTAGTAAGTTCAAGACAAACGAGTGTGCTAGAATTATTATTGGTCATTAATTTTCTGATAACCAAGAAAAGGAGGAAACAAACAATGATAAGAAGTGCAACTGTGAACTGATCCCATTTAAAGGCAGAGATTTTAAGCACCACCTTCAAAAATACCTGGTCTGGGTAGTCCTGTCAATCAAGTGCAAGAAGGTCCATCATTGGATGCTGGAACTTGATTGACATTTACCTACTAGCCCCTGTGTATATCCTGTCTACCTTGTTTGGGATTCGTGGTGACCTTCCAATTAACTTTTGATTCTTTGATGTTTATTGAACATGGTGTACAGAAAAACTGTATTACTATGAAAATTTTTAGACTGATAACATATGAAGTAAATATATCTTTAGTTCTTGAACGAATTATAATATAATATGCATTTTTTTTTCCAATTAAATTAACCTTTGATACATAAAACTTTTATTTCCAAATGAAATTTCGATATTAATTGAAATTTGCCAATGGTAAACCTAAAGTGGAAATGTTATTGATAAAGTTCAGAGCAGCACTATGTGAAGTAATTAAAGTTAAAAATAATGTTTCTAATAATGTGTCACTAATATTTTCCTTTTTTTATTCGGATATTTTATGAATTTACAAGCAATTTTTTTAGCATGTTTCATGGTGACAATGCCTTATTAAGGTTAGGATAATCTTAGATTTTTTTCTAAATATGTTTATATAGTTAACACGGTTCCACATCTCTTTTACATTCAATTAAAGACGGTATCCTGAGGATGAATGAATTTGGTCTAATTTGGTTGTTACAGGAGTTGGTTTTTTTTTTAATTATTATTAACACATACATTGACATCTAAAACAATCTTTGTTTAATATCGATATTTGAATTTATAGTATGATATCATAATAATTTTTTCAGATGGGTAGGGGTGATTTCAAACAGTCAAAAATAAATCAATATGAAAATAATTGAAAATCCTTTATACTACTAATTTTAAAATTGTCTCAAAATCCTAAACACAGGTAAAGTTTGATATCTGGGCATTACTCTGTGTATTAAAACACTTCCTGTGAATAGGGATTAGGAGACAGATGACCACAGGTAGATAGCTAGCCCCCAAGGCATTCACACCTGTGCAAAATAAGCCCCTCCTTCACCTGGAATTTACCACCCGGTAAAAAATCTCTGCCTTTAACATTCTCTTCTAGTAAAGAATCCAACAATGTGTTAGTTTCGGTAGATGTTATTGGCTGTGTATATTTAAATACCGGAGTTGCTGAAGCTGTTTTGCCTAGAAGTAGTGCAGTTGCTATTGTTTTGAATTTATAAAAGAACCAAATTAGCCAAATGGTATTGAATATGGTGAGACCAAAAGCAAAGTACGAGGGTTGTCCGTAAAGTTCGTGGACAAACCTAAGAATTAAATAAAAGTTGCGTCATTGATATATATCATTAGCATATTCTCATCTTTTACTAAATGTGAATTGAAAAATGTAAAATCTTATTCAATTTCAAATGTTTATTTTCAATTATGGCTTCATAATTAGACTTGGAATGGAGACCCGGAGTACCACAAAATTTTAATTAAATTTTTTTTGGATCTTTTTATAAATTTCATTTGTATTTTTAAAAAATCTGCGGAAATCTGGATGACTTTTACAGTATGAGGTTGACAGAAGCTATCACGTCAAACATGCAAAATTTGAACGTTAAAAGTTGTAAAATGCCTGAGCAATCAAAGTTCGAACTTATTAAGACAGATCGGAATTGTTCCAAAAAAGGGACGTTTCGGAATAGGTGGAGCAGTGAGCATGCAGTGATAACATCGGATAAACACCTTCAAAGACCAATACATTTTGTAAACAATCGGTTTAAACATAATTAAAGAAGCCGTACATTAGTATTCAAGTGGCATATAATATTTTCGGACGGAAGGGACAGTTAATAGGATTACATGCGTAAAGGAAAACCATTATTCCGAGATTGCAGTGCTGTAAAAATGACTTTCATAACGTGACTTGACCGTATTTCCGGAAATAAAATCGCTTTTACGTGGACAGAGGTTGGATGATTACAGGATATGAGACAGGCATTGTTAAATATTATTTAACGTGTGAAACCTGAATATTTTGGGCACATATTTATGAGTGGTTAAAGCGACATAAGAAATGTATTGAGTTAAACGGTGACTATGTTGAGAAAAGTTACATGTACTCGTTATGCATTTGACTTCGGGTAACGTCAAGAATTTTCATTTTAGTGCTCCGGGTATGAGTGTATGTCTTTTTTTAATCTAATAAAAATATAACTTTGTGCTTTGTTTTTGTTGAAAATTGCATGTTTATAAAATGAAACATGAATTTAATAAAAATAATAGTTTCATATATTTTATCAATGTTTATCAGTAATTATAAATGTTGTCCACGAACTTTACGGACAACCCTCGTATGTCAAAATATCGTTAATATTTGGCAAACTTGATTCCAATTGTATTTCACCATCTAAGAGTGGTTCAGCCAAATTTGGATAAATTTTGTTATCTTGTTTTGTTCGTTGGATAACTGTTTTTAAGCTTAAATCTAACGCTTTGTCATTTGCCAAAATATGGTTCATGTCATGCTTGAAAATTTTGAATGAGGGTATTTTAATTGAGACAGCTTCTTTAAATGTCGTATAAGCAAATTTTATTCCTGATAATGTGTCCTCATGAAAGAAATGTTGGAGTAGAACCAAATTTGCAGGATGCAATTTTGTTATATTCTGTGTACCTTCTCTGCAACTAGCAACTTGTGGCAAGAATTTGTTAGTTTCAGTTAAAAGCGTGCAAAGGCATGGAATATTTATAATACAAAATTCACATCCTTGCATTTGTGTTAAAAAGTCGTTACACTGCATTGTAATTTTGTTAGTTTGAT